AAAAAAAAAAAAAAAAAATAGTAAGGGCAGGAGCCAGCAAGAGCTGGCACATGCCAAGGGGGCAAAATGTTAGTCTATGGTGAGTCTGGTTGGATAAAGTACATATGGGAATTTTTGCTACTATTTTTGTAATTTTTCTCTGAAGTTGTATACAATTATGTTATGGAAAATTTTCATTACTAATGACAGAATTTAAGTTTTTCGTCAAATTAACAGGTTCATCACTTATGAACCTGAAATAGGCAGCAAGAGATCTCTCTCATTTCACACAAATGCTATGAAGGGAAGAAAACTCCAAGCCTGTGTTGTGGCTTTCCGTGTCTGTGTTTCCTTTCTTCCTGCTCTGAAGGGTGAGACAGCACATTCTCCCAGTCCACAGGCTGAAGGTTCACAGAGATCCCAGGAGCCCCAGTACAAAGTCCAACCTCTGAGGCTCAGGTGTTTTTAGTCAGTAAATAAGGACCCTGCCAGGCAGAGCAAGAAGCTAGAACAGAGGGACAAGAGCCCCAGCCTCAGAAACACAAATATGGGGCCTTTAGTGAGTGCAAAACCAGACACTTAATATCAACAGCCCTGGGCAGCACAGTCAATCTGACAAATATTGACGTTTACATTTCCTGTGACTCTAGCACAGAAGTGGCTGTACCAGTGTGTCAGAGGTCCTGTGGACCCTCACCAGCTCACTGAGAGCAAGCAGTCCCTTGCTTAGTCCACCACTCACCACTCAGCAGTGTGCATACTTAAGGTGTTAACACTGGACTATTCAGACTAAGAGATTAGCTAGATGTGGCTCCTATGCACTGCCTCTGAAGGGCCTGAAGGGTGGAGAGTCACCATCAGCTGGTGGCATCTCTGAAGCTGAGAGTCAGGAGTCTCTTACAGACCCTCTACCTCATAAACCCATAGAATCAGCAACTCCTGATAGGGGCCAATACTTGCTCAGCACCCACACCCCAAGAAATCCAGAATCAGGTGTACTCTCTGCCTCCCAGAGGTCCTGACAAATGTCCTCTGGGATCTACATGCCTGGTACCTGGGGCATGAGACCTGACCACAAGCCTCCACTTAGCCTGTGTCCCAGGACTTGCATGCTCAACCTTGGGTGGGTGCTCAACCCAGGGTTGCTAGAGGCTTCTCTGCGGAAAGAGCTCTGCAAAATCCACCATAGCCACCAGGCTCAGGTTAATATTCAACTTCTTCCACCTGTTAAAACCAAAACCTGGGCTCGGCGCCTATAGCTCAACCGGCTAAGGCGCCAGCCATGTACACCTAAGGTGGCGGGTTCAAATCCCCAGCCTGGACCCGCCAAACAACAATGATGGCTGCAACCAAAAAATAGCCGGGCGTTGTGGCGGGCGCCTGTGGTCCCAGCTACTTGGGAGGCGGAGGCAAGAGACTCGCTTGAGCCCAGGAGTTGGAGGTTGCTGTGAGCTGTAATGCCACGGCACTCTACCCAGGGGGACAGCTTGAGGCTCTGTCTCAAAAAAAAAAAAAAAAAAAAAACCAAAACCTGTTTTTGGATGACTATCCTGCTTTTTGCTCAATACAACTGCACAGTACTTACACCAAAAAATAATCCTTCAGAGGCTTCCTCTGGCCCAGGCTGACCACCAGGAGCTCTGGTCCTGGGGTAGCTCCCTAAAGGTTTGGGACCCAGCCAGGATCCTACCTCCCCTTCACCCCCAGCATTTCAGACAGCATGCCTGAGACAGCCACTGACTCCCGCCTGGTTTCGGGCTGCAGCACCATCACCCTTAGGAGCTGAGCCCACAAAGGAAGCAGCAAAAGGCCCAGGATCAGTGCAGCTGTTCTGCAAACAGGACTTTTTCTTCTTTAAGAACATAAAAACTGGGGCGGCGCCTGTGGCTCAAAGGAGTAGGGCCCCGGCCCCATATACCAGAGGTGGTGAGTTCAAACCCGCCCCCAGCCAAAAACTGCAAAAAAAAGAGAGAGAGAATATGAAATATCTCATTCATAATATTGGGTGGCGCCTGTGGCTCAAGGAGTAGGGTGCCAGCTCCATGTACCGGGAATGGTGAGTTTGAACCCAGCCCCGGCCAAAACTGCAAAAAAACAAAACATAAAAAACAGCTACGTATGGACTTTCTTGCCTCTCCAAATGGGGCACACTAAGACCTCACCTTCCAGAGTGCAGCCCTGAACTGAGCCTGTGAGTCTAGGCAATCACCTCGTTTCCCAAGGCCCTTGTGCAACCACAGAAAGGAAGCCCC